TCTCTGGGTTCAGAGCGACTCGAAAGCCGCTCCAACATTTTAGTGCACCCCTACTACACACAGTACGGTAAACACGCGGAGACATGTACGCTGGTCTAATATTTACATATAAAAAATCATTAAAAATACTTAAAACAACTTAAATGACAAAAGAAGAGGTGTACCCCCTGTATCTAGTGGATGACTATGATCCTAAACTGATTTGGAGTCAATAGGTCACATGACCTGGAAGCTATTGAGCTAAAATGCTAATATTTGCCTTTAAAAATTCATTAGAAATTCTTTAAAAAACTTAAATGACAAAAGAAGAGGTGTACCCCCTACAGCTAGGGGGAGGACTATGATCCTGACCTGATTTGGAGTCAATAGGTCACATGACCTGGAAGCTATTGAGCTAAAATGCTAATATTTGCCTTTAAAAATGCATTAAAAATACTTAAATGACAAAAAAGAGGTGTACCCCCTGCAGCTAGTGGAGGACTATGATCCTGACCTGATTTGGAGTCAATAGGTCACATGACCTGGAAGCTATTGAGCTAAAATGCTAATATTTTCCTTTAAAAATTCATTAAAAATACTTAAAAAATACTTAAATGACAAAAAAGAGGTGTACCCCCTGTAGCTAGTGGAGGACTATGATCCTGACCTGATTTGGAGTCAATAGGTCACATGACCTGGAAGCTATTGAGCTAAAATGCTAATATTTGCCTTTAAAAATTCATTAAAAATTCTTTAAAAAAACTTAAATGACAAGGACACCACAAGACACAGAAAAAAAAGTATAGTATAAGTATAGTAGAAGGACTGAAGAACAATTATAATAATAACAATAATAAAACTAAGCTAAGTTTCTTCAAAAGATAATTAACATAAGTAAAATGTTATGAAAAATAATGAATACTAATAAAAAGTGTGTCTTTTGGGCGGCACGGTGGCTGAGTGGTTAGCACTCTCGCTTCTCAGCAAAAAGGTCCCGGTCGGAACAGGGCCTTTCTGAGTGAATTTTGCATGTTCTCCCCGTGTCTGCGTAGGTTTCCTCCGGGTGCTCCGGTTTCCCTACTAAAAACATGCACAATAGGTATGAATGTAAGTGAGAGAGTGAATGGATAGTGTTGATTGGGGGTTGATGCGCCAGTGTGTTCGGCGACTCGCTTCAGTCATCAACCTGTGTGGAATGATTGGAACAATATCTGACTCTGAACATTGTAAAGCGCTTTGGGTGACCTTGGTCTGTAAAATGCGCTATATAAATAAACATTACTTACTCACTTACATATGCCTCAGCTTGAGTGTGTGTCCTGGCTTTGTAATGGAGGAGTCTGCTGCAAGAACCAGGATGGTTCTTTGGATAAAAGCAGTTATGAGTAATAAGAAGGCCCAAGACCATGAAGACATGAAAAAAACCAGTGAAAGAACCTAAAAATTGATCCTGAAACACACGGGAAGCCAATGCAACAAATTTAAACCCGATGTAATAAAACTGTACTGTATTAAAAGTCAGGATCATATTCCTCCCCTAGCTGTAGGGGTACACCTCTTCTTTTGTCATTTAAGTTTTTTAAAAGTATTTTTAATGAATTTTTATATGTAAATATTAGCATTTTAGCTCAATAGCTTCCAGGTAATGTGATCAATTGACTCCAAATCAGGTCAGGATCATAGTCCTCCACTAGCTGCAGGGGGTACACCTCTTTTTTGTCATTTAAGTTTTTTAAAGAATTTTTAATGAATTTTTAAAGGCAAATATTAGCATTTTAGCTCAATAGCTTCCAGGTCATGTGACCTATTGACTCCAAATCAGTTTAGGATCATAGTCATCCACTAGATACAGGGGGTACACCTCTTCTTTTGTCATTTAAGTTGTTTTAAGTATTTTTAATGATTTTTTATATGTAAATATTAGACCAGCGTACTGTACATGTCTCAGCGTGTTTACCGTACTGTGTGTAGTAGGGGTGCACTAAAATGTTGGAGCGGCTTTCGAGTCGCTCTGAACCCAGAGAGAAGGAGAGGTGTACCGAGAGGGAATGACCGTTGAATGTCTGTCGGATATCCAACTTCAAACTAACTTCACCGCGGTAGAGAACCGTTTGCATTTTAACGCGATTACTACCACAACATTATTGCTGCTACTTCATGGATGTGGTCACTGTCTGTAGGAAATATCTTCACATAATCTGCAGGTAGAGGATGACCCATGGTCATGGATCTATAACAGGGATGACCCATGGTCATGGATCTATAACAGGGATGACCAGAGACAATTTTGACTTTTAAAATCGTAATTTTGACTTTCGGTAGGCTTTTTTTTTTTTTTTAACATGGCGGAAACGGGCTTCCATACAAGTTGTATTATAATCCGTAATTTAATTGAAAACTTGAGCTCATTGATTCAGCTGTGTATGAATTCAGGCGTAAAAAGTGCTGAGTAGAGACTTGGCGTGACGCCCGCTCTCCTCCAATCACAGAGCGAGGCTGCGTCCTCTAGCCTCTACAGCGCTGCTAAACACAGTAGCATGTTAGCATAAGTGGCTATAACTCCTCTGGCTGTAACTGCAGACACAGCAAAACAGCCCAAACAACACAACAGTGAGGAAGAGAAGAGGAACTAAAGCCACAACATGATCAAAGAAGAAACCAAGCCCTGAACAGAGCTAGCTTACATCGTATCCTCTGGAGAGACTGGTCTGTGGGAGAGACCTGCGGGACCGCCTCGGACTATCTATGCTCGGACTATCTACGCTCGGACTGTCTACGCTCGGACTATCTACGCTCGGACTATCTACGCTCGGACTATCTACGCTCGGACTATCTACGCTCGGACTACTTTCGCACGTGAAACTAGTGGTAATCTTTTGGTTAAATATTGTGTTAGCAGTGTGTTGCTTTTGACCATTTCATCAGTGATTGTTGTACAGCTTAAGTTGTGCTAATGCTAATGTTAGCATCAGTATCAGATCGCAAATAAAACTAGATGGCTTTGTGTTATGAGAGCGTAGGAAATGAGAAGCCTGTGAGCGAGTTGGGGGCGGGGCTAAACATTCAAACCTTGCAGAAACAGGTATAGCTCCTTTAATGTAAACAGCATTGACACCAGGTTTGTATCACACATGTTTTTCTACAGAAATGAGTAAAAAAAATAGAATATTCTGAACGTCTCAATGTCTCCTGTGAGAGAAATTAAAATATCTAAAATAATTCTACTTGGTCTAAAACAGAGATTCCTCCGATAATAAGACATGATGGTGTTGATCCCTGAGTTTAAACTGAATCTCTCATTACAAATTTATTTTTAAGATTTAGTTCTGAATCTTTTCCATTGTACCGTGAAGTCCGGACTGAAGGCTGCGGCTTATAGTCAGGAGCGGCTTAACTACCTTTTTTTTTCTCTGTGGTACCAAAAACAGAATGAATGAGTGGTTCACAGAGGTCCAATGAAACTGAGAGGTTTGTCAAAGAAGCAGAACACAACTCTCAGTAAAACATTGAGCAACATTTTCAAGACTACAACGTTTGTTTTCTCAAAATTAGAGCCTGCTGTAGTCCGGAAAATACGATAATTCAGTTCATCTTTAACACCACACACAACAGTTGAAGCTGAATTTGGTGAAACAACACAATAAGTGACAAAAAGAAAGAAAAACTACAGCGAAATGACTGTTTTGACACTTTTACCTGCTTTTAATTGTAGTCAGTGCGATTCCACATGTGTTTTTGTGGCAACGACTAACAGGCATTTAGGCACTTTGCTTCAGTAGATTACACAAGTTGACAGATAAAAAATGGTCAGGGGTTTCTCAACTGATTCAGACTAATGTTGGTGTTCTGAGTCCGAATATCACATGCTTTTTGCTCTATCAGGTCAACTTTGTGAGATACAGCCATAGTGTTATGTACGTCTACGTTATTATGAATTCTGCTTATCAAATTTGATGGAGCAAATAAAAACTGAATGACTTTGGAAACGTTGACTTTTATTTCTTGAGGAAAACGGAAAAAACGTCAAGGGTTTCTCAGCTGATGATCCGCAGAAATTTGTTGTTTACGCAAAATCGATAAAAAAAAATATTTCTGTAGCACAAAACCCTGATCTGATTGAGCAAAACCAAGGTCATTTTTGGACTCAGAGCATCAACATTAGTCTGATTCAGCTGGAAAACCCTGGACTATTTTCAACAAATATTTTTTTGTTACCCAGTATTCCAATGTAGTTTTTATACTGCACATGGCTAATAAAATGAATCTGAATCTGAGTGTAATAAATAAGTCAAAACAGGAATGGATTGCTCTAAAAACGACAAGTGTTTTGAGCCCTTTCTCTTCCCTCTCCTACTGCCTACATTAAAATCGTACAGAGTAGAGCTGCAACAGATCAGAAAGATTATATTATCACGATGATGGCAAATACGACTGCGTGAAGTAACACCGATCGCAGTTATATCGGTATAATTATGAGAGACTGCATAAAAGTGAAATACTGTCATGACTCTGATGTATTCTTCCCAATACTTGCCAAAAGATACGTTTTTCATAAGTAAATTAGAACATTTAAGGCGACACTTGACCAGTTATATTTAGTACAGCGGACGTGTAATAACTTGAGTTTGGACCAATATAATAGCAAACTTGAGCTGCCAAATGTGATTCCATGAATAGAATCTAATTTGAGAGCTACACATGTAACATTTTAACAGTTTAAAGAGCTCTTTATATTTCAACTTCTGTTATTGTGACATGTCCTTCTCATATGGAGCTATAATTTGTTACCCATAACCCACAGCCCTCACTGCAAAGAAGTGCAATAATTCTATGTAGAAATCATGAGTTTTGTTGATAAACTTTGCCATTTGCTGCCAGAGCAAACAGACTGTTGGATCAAAACAACATGGAGGAAGAGAGTGACCACTAGAGGTCACCACCATCGCATAATGCACATATTTCCAATCTCCTGCAGCTCTACTACAGTGTAATCACGCTTCAATACTTCCATTTTAAAAAGGCTATTTGGGAAAGTAGAACTCTTTGGTCAACATGGAGACGATGCAGGGGATTTGCTTCTTGCCGCTGAATCCGGGAAGATTTGAGGAGGACTCGAAGTGATAGGCCACACTCCGGTTCACTCTGGTCATGATCTGCATCAGCTCCAGGTCCCTGTGCTTCTCCATCATGTCACACAGGGACTGAATGAACCAGGAGCCGTTGTACGTGCTTCTCCATGAGTAGTATCCTAAAGACAAGGGGAAAGGAAAGAACATTATCGCATTGTGAGGGGTGAAGGCATGGATGTATTGTAAGTAAGTAAGTATGTAATGTTATTCTTTCAAGCCTCACATCCGCAACATCACCAAAACTGCCTTCTTTCATCTTAAAAACATTGCCCGTCTTCGCCCATATCTGTCCTCCACCGCTGCTGAAACCCTGATCCATGCTTTCATATCCTCCAGACTCAACTTCTGCAACAGTCTTTTATACGGCCTTCCTTCATCTGATCTCCAAAAACTACAATATGTCCAAAACTCCGCCGCCCGCCTCATCACTCAGACCCAGAGAACACATCACCCCTGTCCTCCATAAACTCCACTGGCTCCCCATCAAACAGCATCCATTTCAAAATCCTCCTCATCACCAAAAAGCCCTCCATAACCTCGCTCCTCCAGACCTCACTGAACTTCTACAGCCCTACAGTCCCTCCCGTCGACTCCGATCTGCAGACACATTTCCTCACTCCCACTGTCACTCATTTGACATCCAAGCACCGAACCTTGGGGGACCGAGCTTCTTTCGCCATCTCTGCTCCCACTCTCTGGAACTCTCTCCCCCCTCATCTCAGAAACTCGGACTCACTAAACTCCTTCAAAAAAAAACAGCTCAAATCTCACCTCTTCCTCCAAGCATACAACTCTTAGTTTAAACTTTATACCCTTCGTTCCCACTCTTAGATTTTTAGTTTTGTGTGTCTGTCTAAACGTGTGTGTGTGTGTCATGAATTTGTGAAGAGTCTTTGAGTTCTTGAAAAGCGCTATATAAAACCGATGTATTATTATTATTATTATTATTATATAGCACATTTTACAGACCAAGGTCACCCAAAGCACTTTACAATATTCAGAGTCAGATATTGTTCCAATCATTCCACACACGGTGATGACAGAAGCGAGTCCAGAACACACTGGACCATCAGCTCCAACACCATCCATTCACTCTCTCATTTACATTCAGACCTACAGTGCCTTGCGAAAGTATTAACCTTTCAACATTTCGCCACATTTCAGGCTTCAAACATAAAGATATAAAAATGTAATTTTTTGTCATTAATCAACAACAAGTGTGACACAATCGTGATTTATTGGATAATTTAAACTTTTTTAACAAATAAAAAACTGAAAAGTGGGGCGTGCAATATTGTTCGGCCCCTTTACTTTCAGTGCAGCAAACTCAGTCCAGAAGTTCAGTGAGGATCTTTGAATGATCCAATGTTGTCCTAAATGACTGATGATGATAAATAGAATGCTCCTGTGTGTAATCAAGTCTCCGTATAAATGCACCTGCTCTTTGATAGTCTCAGGGTTCTGTTTAAAGCGCAGAGAGAACCATGAAGACAAAGGAACACACCAGGCAGGTCCGAGATACAGTTGTGGAGAAGTTTAAAGCCGGATTTGGATACAAAAAGATTTCCTAAGCTTTAAACATCTCAAGGAGCACTGTGCAAGCAATTATATTGAAATGGAAGGAGTATCAGACCACTGCAAATCTACCAAGACCCGACCGTCCCTCCAAACTTTAATCTCAAACAAGGAGAAGACTGATCAGAGATGCAGCCAAGAGGCCCATGATCACTCTGGATGAACTGCAGATAACTACAGCTGAGGTGGGAGAGTCTGTCCATAGGACAACAATCAGTCGTGCACTGCACAAATCTGGCCTTTATGGAAGAGTGGCAAGAAGAAAGCCATTTCTCAAAGATATCCATAAAAAGTCTGGTTTAAAGTTTGCCACAAGCCACCTGGGAGACACACCAAACATGTAGAAGAAGGTGCTCTGGTCAGATGAAACAAAAATTGAACTATTTGGCCACAATGCAAAACGATATGTTTGGCGTAAAAGCAACACAGCTCATCACCCTGAACACACCATCCCCACTGTCAAACATGGTGGTGGCAGCATCATGCTTTGGGCCTGCTTTTCTTCAGCAGGGACAGGGAAGATGGCTAAAATTGATGGGAAGATGGATGGAGCCAAATACAGGACCATTCTGGAAGAAAACCTGTTGGAGTCTGCAAAAGACCTGAGACTGGGACGGAGATTTATCTTCCAACAGGACAATGATCCAAAACATAAAGCCAAATCTACAATGGAATGGTTCACAAATAGACGTATCCAGGTGTTAGAATGGCCAAGTCAAAGTCCAGACCTGAATCCAATCGAGAATCTGTGGAAAGAGCTGAAGACTGCTGTTCACAAACGCTCTCCATCCAACCTCACTGAGCTCGAGCTGTTTTGCAAGGAAGAATGGGCAAGAATTCCAGTCTCTCGATGTGCAAAACTGATAGAGATATACCCCAAGCGACTTGCAGCTGTAATTGCAGCAAAAGGTGGTGCTACAAAGTATTAGCGCAAGGGGGCCGAATAATATTGCACGCCCCACTTTTCAGTTTATTTGTTAAAAAAGTATAAATAATCCAATAAATTTAGTTCCACTTCACGATTGTGTCCCACTTGTTGTTGATTCTTGACAAAAAAATGTAATTTTTATATCTTTATGTTTGAAGCCTGAAATGTGGCGAAATGTTGAAAGGTTCAAGGGGGCCGAATACTTTCATTGTGCATGTTTTTAGTGGTAGGGGAAACCGGAGCACCCGGAGGAAACCTACTCAGACACGGGGAGAACATGCAAACTCCACTCAGAAAGGCCCTGTTCCAACCGTGCCGCCAAGTACTGTATATCTGGACAGGGCACTGCGAGGATGAGAAGGGCCCCAGCACTTATTCTAAAGTCACCAGGACCACCCAGGAAATGTCCCCATGGACCTCAATGTTCACTAAAACAGCTCATCCTCAGCTGACAGGAAACCTACATTTTTCTCAAGATAGGATAAGATTACCCTGGTCGTACCACACCATAGTACAAATTACATTTCGTGCTAAGGTCTGGATTGTCTCCATTGACTCCGTTAACAGGTGGGAGGGGTTAGCTCCTTTTGCAGATTGAAACGATTGGATCAGAGTTTACTGTGACGTATGTAATGAGCCCGAAGGATTTAAGAAGAAAAAAAGTTCAGGATGACAAGGGACACTAAAAATCCCCACAAAATCCGATCTTTATGAAAGCTGTAGGTTCTCTGTCAGGTTCTCTGTCAGCTGAGGTTGAGCTGTTTTAATATGCATTGAGTTGTATGGGGAAAATTTCTGGGTAGCCCACGTGAATTTAGTCTGGTCTAGTCTGGTTCAGTCTGCAGTACCGCGAGAATCCCCCGAGCACATGAGTTATTCAGCTACAAGCTAGTAATACCCTATCCAGTTATTATAATAGATCCATGTTTTGAACAAGAAAAGTCACGGAGCTCAGTTGGTGCGCCAGTATAATCGGTCCGTCTGAAACATATCCTCCAGTGAGAAAGTTCCGCGGTGGGAAAAACACATGGGATTAAAAACGCACTAATTTTGTGGCGTTAATTAATTGTAATTAACGCGTTAAAGTCCCGGCCCTAATTTCCACCATTATTATTTAACACATTCTTTCTCAGGTCTGCTGTCTTTGGACTCTATATCCACATTTGTGTATAATCCTTCACTCTAACTCGTGCTTCTGCAGACCAGGCACTTTTGGAGCCCACACTTTGTCCGCACCAGGGGCCAAAGACCATAAACACTAAAGTTAAGGCGAGAACAAAGGCTTTCCTCACTCCCATAATCTGCAATAACATATTACACCTGCGCTGTGAGGGATGAACCGGGCGCTATCGTTTCTAACAAATAGCCTTTAGCCGCCGTGGACATTACATTACATTCCAATGGGCCAGAAAGCAAAGGATTGTGGGAAGAGAGAGGGCATGGATTCGGAGCATGAATCATTTTAAAAAGGTCCACAGTGAGACACTTGCAGGGTTATCGAGTCAGACGAAAACAGCAACAACTTTCACAAAGGTATTTTCAAGCCCGCGATTAAACGGATATGAGGAAAAATGACTTATTTTTAGGGAAGAAAATAAACATGTCATAAATACAAATATATTTATGGATACAGTAAAGCAGCTAGATTATCTACTGTACTCAGGTAAGAGTGAGATTTCTTCAAATAATATTACTAATAGTAAGACTAAAATGTAACTTCTACTACTACTGTTAGTATTAGATAGCAATATGGCCTACGTGCAGGACTGTACAAGGACTCTGATTATTGTGACTATGATGTGACTGTCTCTGTGTGACACGTCTTTCCATGTGTGACGTGACAATGACTATATAAACTGTGTACTGACTCCATTCTGTCTGAGAGAAAGAAACAATGGAAACCACTGGAACTTGAGAGAAACTTAAATAAACTTCCAGAGTTTGGCGCACCACGATCCGTCTCTGTCTGGTTCATTCCTGACACTACTAGTACTCCTACTTCTACTATTGCTACTACTACTACTGCTACTAGTACTCCTATTTGTAGTATTGCTTCTGTCAGTGTGCTCTAGAGCAACTGTGGCTACAGTAGTAGTTTATCACCACCGAATAATGACCTGTAAAGCATCTTTGAGTGTCCAAACAAGCGCCTTGTACTATTATTATTATTTATTATTATGTATCGCGCTTGTTTGCCACTCAAAGATGCTTTACAGAGCATTATTCGGTGGTGATAAACTACTACTGTAGCCCACAGTTGCACGTAGAGCACACTGACAGAAGCTAATACTACAATAGGGAGTCTACTAGTAGCAGTAAGTTGTAGGTAGCAATAGTAGAAGGTAGGAGTATGTGTGTCAGGACTATGAACCAGACAGAGACGGATAGTGAGTGCGCCAAACTCTGGAAGTTAATTTTAAGTTTCTCTCAAGTCCAGTGGGTTTCCTTGTTTCTTTCTCTCAGGCAGAATGGATGTCAGTACACAGTTTTATTATATAGTTCAGTGTCACGTCACACATGGAAGACGTGTTACCAGAGACAGGTCACATCTTAGTCTCAATAATCAGGTCCTTGTTACAGTCTGCACGTAGGCCCGATATTGCCTATCTTATATACTAACAGTAGTAGTAGAGAGTTACATTTTAGTTCTTATATTAGTAATTTTATTTGAAGAAAATCTCACTCCTTACCTGTGTAAGTAGAGTAATCTAGCTGCTTTACTGTATCCATAAAATATTTGTTTTTATGACATGTTTATTTTCATCCCTAAAAATAAGTCATTTTTCATACATATCGTTTAATTCTTCACTTGGGCTTGAAAATACCTTTGTGAAAGTTGTTGCTGTTTTGTTTTGACTCGATAAGCCCTGCAAGTGTCTCATGTGGACCTTTTTAAAATGATTCATGCTCCGAATCCATGCCCTCTTCTTCCCACAATCTCTTAGCTTTCTGGCCCAATTGGAATTGTAATGTAAATGTCAACGGCGGCTAAAGGCTATTTGTTAGAAACGATAAGCGCGCCGGTTCATCCCTCACAGCGCTGGTGTAATATGTTATTGCAGATTATGGGAGTGAGGGAACGCCTTTGTTCTCGCACTTCCTTAACTTTAGTGTTTATGGTCTTTGGCCCTGGGTAGGGACAAAGTGTGGGCTCCAAAGTCCAGTGCCTAGGTTCTTGCATGGAAGCACGGTTAGAGTGAAGGATTATACACAAATGTGGATATAGTGTCCCAAGACAGCAGACCTGAGAAAGAATGTGTTAAATTAATAATGGTGGAAATTAG